TCCAGCACACAGCCTCACTCTAACTGGGTAAGTAATAGAGCAGGTGGATAATTTTTGTTACTTGGGCAGCTATATCTCACCTGGCGGACGCATCACAGTTGAAATGCCGGCTCGCATTCCGAAGATTCGGTTGGTATTTGTCAACTTGAGACATTTGGGACGCCTTCGCGACATCTGGTTGTCTGTGATCGGCCGCGGCAGTTCGGCCAGTTCTGCTATACGGTGAAGAAACTTGGCCATTAAGGAGGTATGACGAAGATAGACTGTTAGTATTCGAACACCGCTGTCTTCATCGCATTGCACGAATCTGGTGGGACAGCCGGACGACCAATGCTGAGGTTAGGCACAGAGTTTTGGGTAACCGCGGCCGCACTGGAGCAGGTAGTCGACCTCCATAGATTACACTGGTTGGAGCATGTGTTACGCCTGTCACCACATAGGTTACCACGACGGGCGATGTTTGTCGAGGCAGCTAGTGGGTGGAATGAAGGCAAGGGTGGTCAAGCTAAGACCTGGCATGAGACTGGCTCACGTAGGTAACGTTATGCTCTCTGGATGGGGACCTCGGGATGATCTTACGCAATGGTTAGAGACGCTGAGTGATATGGCTTGGTGTCGTAAACATTGGCGTTCGTGCATCTTATCGATTTCTCTGCAAAATTAGTGCAATGATATCCCGAATTTGCTCTTTCAACCTTCCCTGTCTTTCTCCTTATGTTCATCTTAATGAACAGCCAAAAGACAGCAACCCAAGCCGGTGCACGATAGTGCATGGTTACTGGTTGTAGAAACTAAAACTGAAACTATATGAATAAAAGCGTTCCATGGTTTGCATTTGGGCGGAATACTGTCAAATTGCCCAGATAAAGGCAGATGAATTTTCTTGAGGAATCCACAACCGGAGACTTCGGTTTGCCAAAGCCTGATTTGCAAGGCAACGGAGCGGTGTGCGAAAACCGCAAACCATGGAGGGCTGGTGTCCAGTTCATCGGATCATACACCCATTGAACGGGGTGTCCAATACACCTCGATGCTCAATTGAGCCGGTGACCGTTGCCACAACAGGGAAGGTGTGTGTGGTCCGTGCGCCTCGTCATGGTTGGTTTGGAATCAGGGTTTTTGGCCAACTCCCCTAGGTGAACTGCCAGTAGTTAACCAACCCGGTTATAGCCCCGGATGTCGGGTTTTTGTCCTCTCACTTTGGTTGGGAAAACACCTTCGCCGCACGAGAAGGCAGTGAATGAGTAGGGCTTCATCAGCAGAGGCTATTTGATACGTTTGATCGCATGGGAGCATTTCGAGCGAGATGCAAGGGAAGGGTGACCAGCTGTAACACTAGTAGACACCCACCCCGACCATACTAAGGCTTTCGGAGACAAGATGAAATGAGGTTACACGTTACACGGGTCGGGTGATGGATAAGACAGATATAGTCTTGCACTGAATCCGTTCATGGAGAGTACAAATATTCATCCGGCACATCTGACCACAGAGTAGTCAGCTGTTTGGTAATTCCGAGCCGATAAGACAGGAGAGTTTTGTGCTGATGAAGACACGTTCGGCAGGAATAAATAGCTGATAATTTTGACGTTAGCTATTCAAAATTCAATTGTATTTATAGGTTCAATCGGTTTTCAACCCTTGCTGACCGTGCGTTTGTTAGTTTGTGTGATATTGCATCCCGTCGTGCGGTTAGTTCACTGTTAGTTTGTAACTGGACGAGACCGCACGAGGAAACAACAAGATAGAGGAAGAAACGACCAGAAANGACCAGAAAATCTCTGGATTTTGACAAATGATTACTTAGCATAAAAAATCCAACGTTATGATTCAGCTCGCTGTATGACTTTCAAACCCGATGTTAATCAGGATTATTCCTTTAAAACAAAACCCAACCCGATACATATTCTGGTGATTCCGAACGGTTCAATCTGCGAGATGTTTGATGCAATGAAGTTCTATCACCTGGTATGTTTCCTCTTTCGGGACTTTATTACAACTGTTTGTTCATGTGGAAATTGTATCGACTTGTTTGTTTTTATCTACTTTCTGCTGTCTAAAACGCGTTTCATGTGGACGGTTTTTTTGTCGGTAGATGGAAACACAGACATACATCGATATCCTATATTCGTGGCTTGTACATTAATGATCACCTCGAGTTAGAAACATAGCAGGTGGAAATCACGGCTCTGGATTTTGTG